GCCTTTGTTCCTTTGGTGAGCCCTTCCTGGGGGCGGCAGACAGAAGCCATATCTGGGACTCCAGCAACCAGGCTCACACTGGTAGCCCCGCCCTGCTGACTCCCTGAGGCCCTGCCCCGCCCCACCCAACTTTAAAGCCCACCCAAGCTGTTGCCACTTGCTTAACCAGAGGATTGGCCGGTCTTGGATCCTGCTTCAGGTTTTTCCTAAATTCTTTCAAACAAGCAGCATCGGGTCTCAGCGAGCCCCATACCTCTCATTAAGTAATACACAGAAACAAACACAGGGAGGCAGCCAAAATGAGGATACAAAGAAACAGGTCCCAAGTGAAAGAACAGAACAAAACCCCAATAAAAGAACTAAGCAAAAGGGTGATAAGCAACCTAACAGATACTGAGTTCAAAATACTGCTTATAGGGATGCTCAATGAACTTAGTGAGAACCTCAGTGAACTTAGGGAGGGCCTCAAGAGCATAAAAAAGGACCAGTTAGAAATCATGGATACACAGGATTGAAGGAGGCATTAACTGAAATAAAGAATAATTTACACAGCTTCAATAATAGAGTATGTAAATCCAAGGAGCAAACCATCGATTTGGAATATAAGGAAGCAAAAAATCCCAATCAGAACAGCAAAAAGAAAAAAGAATCCAAAAAAATGAGGATAGTGTAAGGAGCCTCTGGGACAACTTCAAGCGTGCCAACATTCGCATCTTGGGGGTGCCGGAAGGAGAAGAGAGAGAACAAGAAATCGAAATCCTGTTTGAAACAATAATGGCAGAAAACTTTCCTAACTTGGTGAAGGAAACAGACATACAAGTCCAGGAAGCACAGAGAGTCCCAAACAAGATGAACCCCAAGAGGCCCACACCAAGACACATCATCATCAAAATGCAAAAGATTCAAGACAAAGAGAGAATCTTAAAAGCAGCAAGAGAAAGGCAGCTAGTTACCTACAAGGGAGTTCCCGCTGGGCTGTCAGCTGATTTCTCAAAAGAAACTTTGCAGGCCAGAAGGGAGTGGCAAGAAATATTCAGAGCGATGAAAACCAAGAACCTACAACCAAAATTACTCTATCCTGCAAAGCTGTCATTTAGAATCGATGGACATATAAAAACATTCCCAGACAAGAAAAAGTTAAAGGAGTTCATCATTACCAAACCGTTATTATATGAAATGATGAAGGGTCTTTTTTTTTTTTTTTTTTTTAATCCTCACCTGAGGACATTTTTCCATCTTTTTTTGTACAGATAGAGTGGGAGGGAGAGAGAGAGAGAAACATCGACGTGAAGGGACACATCGAGTGGCTGCCACCCGCACGACCAACCAGGGCCGGGGACAAACTGCAACCGAAGTACGTGCCCTTAGCGGGAACCGAACCCGGGTCTCTCTGGACCGCAGGCGGACGCTCTAACCGCTGAGCCAAACTGGCCAGGGCGAAGGGTCTTTTTGAAGAAAAAGATAAAATGTATGAACAAACAAAATGGCAATGAATACATATCTATCAACAATGGAATCTACAAACAAAATGAACAGGAAGAACAGAAACATTCTCATAGATACAGAGAACATTTTGTTGGTTGCTAGTTGGGAAGGGGGTCGGGGGAATGGGTGAAAAAGGTGAAGGGATTAAGAAGCACAAATTCATTGCTAGACTGACAAACCTCAAAGGGAAAGGGGTTGGGGGGGTGGGAAGAAATAAACCAAAGAACTTATATGCATAACCAATGGACACAGACAATAGTGTGGGAAAAGGTGGGAGGGGGGGGGGAGTGGGGAGAAGGGGGTAAATGGGGGAAAATGTGGAACATCTGTAATACATTTTACATCTAACAATAAAGATTTGAAAAAAAAAAAGTCAATAGCTTCTGCACAGCAAAAGATACAATCATCAAAATTGAAAGGCAACCCACAGTATGGGAGAGCATAATTGCCAATGATATATCAGATAAGTGGTTAATTTCCAATATATATAGAGTGCTCATACAGCACAACAAAAAGAAAACAAAGAAGTTAATTAAAAAATGGGCAGAGCAACTTAATAGACACCTCTCCAAACAGGACATACAAATGACCAAGAGACATATGAAGAAATGCTCAAAATTACTAATCATCAGAGAGATGCAAATTAAAACAGCAATGAGGTATCACCTCATACCTTTCAGAATGGCCGCCATCAACAAATCATCAAACAAGTGTTGGTGAGGGTGTGGAGAAAAGGTGACTCTTACACTGCTGGTGAGAATGAAGACTGATGCAGCCTCTATAGAAAACACTATGGTGTTACCTCAAAAATTAAAAATTGAACTTCCATTTGACCCAGTGATCCCACTTTTTGGAATATACCCTAAGAAGCCTGAAACACCAATCAGAAAGAATATATGTACCCCCATGTTTATAGCAGCACTATTTACAATAGCTAAGATCTGGAAACAGCCCAAATGTTCATCAGTAGACAAATGTATAAAAAAGCAGTGGTACATGTACCCAATGGAGTATTATGCAGCTGTAAGAAAGAAAGATTTCTTATCCTTTGAGACAACATGGAGAGGCCTGGAAAGTGTCATCCTAAGCGAAACAAGCCAAACAGAGAAAGACAAGTATCATATGATCTCACTTATTTGTGGAATATAATGAATTTAACAGTCGGAGGAATGGGGTAGCCCCAGAGATGTGGAAGTGAGGGACAGACTGACCATCCCCAGAAGAGGTGGTGGGGCGGAAAGATAAACCACAGAACTTATATGCATGTATGCATGAACAACGGACATGGACAATAAAGCTGGGGAGAGGTCGGGGAGGGAAGGAGAGGGGGAAATCATTGGGGAGAAAGGGGAAATATCTGTAACAAAAATAAATAAATTAATTTAAATTAAAAACAAATTGAAGGAGAAATAAATAGCTCCCCTGGCAAGAAAACAAAACAAAACAAAAAAAAGTGGTGGTACATATATACAGTGGAATATTATGCAGCTGTAAGAAAGAAAGATTATTTGAGACGACATGGAAGGACCTGGAAAGTATTATCCTAAGCAAAACAAGCCAAACAGAGAAAGGCAAGTATCATATATTCTCACTTATTTGTGAAATATAATGAACATAACAGTCTGAGGAATGGGGTTGTCCCAGGGACGTGGAAATAGGGTATAGACTAACAATCCCTAGAAGAAGAGGTCGAGGGGGAGAGATAATCCACAGAATTTATATGCATGTATGCATGAATAATGAACATGGACAACAAAGCAGGGGACAGTAATGGGAGAAGGGGGGAAATCAATGGGGAAATAGGAGAAACATCTGTAACAAAAATTAATTGATTAATTAATTAAATTTTATTTCAGAAAGTTTATCGATAGTGTACGATACACAACTGCTTTTGTATGTTGATTTTGTATCCAAAAATTTTATTGAATTTGTTAAGTCTTATTTTTTTTGGTTAAGTCTTTAAGGTTATATATGTAATAATTATATCATCTGCAAATAGCTACAGTTTTACAAACTTTTATATTTGGATGCCTTTCATTTCTTTATGTTGCCTGATTGCTCTAGCTAAGATATCCAGCACTGTGTTGAATAAGAGTAAGCAGTGGGTATCCCTGTCTCTTTCCTGATATTTATTGTTGGATATGATGTTAGCTGTGGAACTATCATACATGTCTTTTATTATGAATTTGTTGAGGATTGTTATAAGAAATAGATGTGTATTTCTATTAGTCACTATATTTCAACCATTTTTTCATCTTAAAAGCACTGGTGATGTAGTCTGGAAGAGATGTGTGTGTGTGTGTGCAGTTGATACATGTATGAACAGCCTGCGTGATTAGAAATATGGATATTTTCTCTATATTCCATATTCTCCTCTTTATTGTCTTTTTTATCATGAGTTCTCATTTTTGCATTATATGTTTAGTCATAAAAGTAAATGTAAATTAAAAACAAGTTCATGTATAAAATTATTCAGAGACTACCTTCTCTTTATTTAAGCTGCTGCTTAAAGTAATTGTTGTACCAATTTCATTTAGAAAATTCAGTTAATGATTTAGGGGACATTTTATAAAGATACAAACTTTATCAATAAATGTGTTTCATCTCATTACAAAATACTGTTTAGCCCTGGCCATGTCACTCAGTTGGCTGTAGTGTCGTCTAGTACATATACACAGGTTGTGGGTTAGTTCCCCAGTTGGGGCACATATGGGAAGCAATAGATCAATTCCCACTCCTGCTACCCCCCGCCTGTCCCTTCCCATATAGTTTCAGAATTCAGCAAGTCAATTTTGTGCTAGATGAATTGAAGAAAAAAACAAAAACCTGTTTTGCATTCCACTGGACGGAAGACATAATGAATACTTTTTACTCCCCCATCAGCAGTGGCTCAGAGTCAGCAGTCAGCTAATGGCCTGCCTTATCACTACAGCCAGCTTGTGCTCTGTGGCTTTGATGGGTGGTGCAGGGGAGGAAGTGGGGGAGCAGATGGTGCAGATGAGTCTGTCAGGCCCTGTCCTTCCCCTTATGAAGTTAACCTTGGAAAACAGTAAGAACCATTGCTCCATGGCCTACCTCAACAACATCAAGACCCTACCATTGCCATACTCATCTGTTTCTTTGTAGTCCTGTCTTTTGAAGTGTCAGGCCTCTGAGAAAATACATTGAATGTAATTTGATTTTTATGACTTGAGGGATAAACAGATTTTCTCTGTTTTTTGTTTTTTTCTTTCTGGACTGCAGGCCGACGCTCTAACCGCTGAGCCAAACCAGCCAGGGCTGTTTTTTGTTTTCTTACAAGAGGCTTTCTTCTTGTGGGTTTGGAAGAGGACAAAATATTGAGTCTAGACATCAGACTTCTTAGGAATATGAAAGTCCCTACCCTATATAATCCTGCAATCCTGGAATCTTCTTGAAAGTCAAGTGACTCCAGTATGTTAGATTTGTTATCTCATGCTTCAGTCTGATGTTTTCCCACACTGTGCAATGCATGTACATGCGCGCGCACACACACACACACACACACACATTGAGAAAAACATGCCTTTCTTCTCCCCTCCCTTTCAGAATGGCTCCTTCCTTCTCTGGCAGCTGGTGGTTGGTGGGGAGCACAAGCCTATGGTCAGATGCCACATCCTGCCCCATGTTGTGCCCTTTGTTGCTTTGGTCAAGACTAACCAAAGTGGAGCTAAACTCAGGAGCTGAGAAACCAAGTCACACTGAGAGGATGGGAAATTGTCTCCTGAGGGAACTCAGGTGAGTCCTGTCTCTGGGCACTACATTCCTTGGGAGAAAGAGAACAGGGAGAAGGAGGCTGGGCTTATACATTTGGAAAGGTGGGGCATTTGTGCTTAAGAAGGCTGAACCTGAAGACAGCATCCTCTAAGAACACACAGTGAACCCCCACATTACTCCTTCTCTTGACTTACTTTGGAACCATAAGTTGCCAGATTTAGAAAATAAAAATACAAGATAGCAAGGCAGATTTGAATTTCAGATAAACAACTTTTTTTTTTTTTTTTCCTTTTTGTGTAAGCATACACCATGCAATATTTGGAGCATGGTTGCATAGGTCATAATCTTACTGGGAAAAAAACAACAACATTGTTTATTTAAAGTTCAGGTTTAAGTGTGCATTCTGTGTTCTATTTAGAAACTCTAGACTATGGTCACTTGAATTTTTCTGCACCTCTCTTTCCTCATTTGGGTTAGAGATTGTCTTCTCATTAATCAGCTTCAAGTGTCGGCATTAGAATAAACAGTCAGGTTTTGAAGTTATGGATGCAAAATAATGCACTCAAATGCTTTTGATTTAAGTAGTGCCTTTCATTGGTGACTTTTACTTCTCTATACTTTTCTAATGCTTTTGAAATTATAGAACAGATATGGATAACAGGCATTATTTTCTTTTTTAATCCTTCTTAATCTTGAAAATTGTCCCCAGAGGACCCACTCCCCACCCACTCTCCCTAATCCTTCCAGTCTTGTTATGTTATGCTATTTAACAAGACTATTTAAAAATTTACATCTAAGCGACATATAACACTGTAAAAGTTTAAGGTGTACAGTGTGTTAATTTGATATATTTATATATTGCAATATGATTTACCACCATAGTATTAGCAAACACCTTGATCACATCATATAATTTTTTTTTTGGTGGAAAAAATTAAGATTTAGCTTCTTAGCAACTTTGAAGTTTATGATACAGTATGGTTGTCTGCAATCACCATTTTGTAAATGACATCTCCTGGACTTATTATTTGCTAGTTGCAACTTTGTACCTTTAACATCTTCCTATTTTCCTTAAGCCCAATCCTTGTTAACCACCATCTGTCTCTGTTTCTACAAGTTCACCTTTATTAGATTCCAAATATAAGTGAGATCTTACAATATTTGTCTCTCTCTGTCTGACTTATCTCATTTTGCATAATTTCCTCAAGGTCCATTCATGTTGTCACAAGTGGCAGGATTTCCTTCTTTCTCATAGCTGAATAATATTCCATTATATAGATATAGATGAGATAGAGATAGAGATAGAGATGTATCACATCTTCTTTATCTATTCATCTGCTAACAAACACTTAGGTTGTTTCCACATCTTGGCTATTGTGACTAATGTTGTAATGAACATGGGAGTGCAGATAGATATTTGAGATTCTGTTTTCATTTTTCAAAATATATTCCCAGAAGTGGAGTTGCTGGATCATATGATAGATCTAGTTTTAATTTTAAAAAAATCCTCACCCAAGGATATTTTTCCATTTATCTTCAGATAGAGTGGGAGGGAGGCAGAGAGAGAGAGGGAGAGAGAGAGAAACATCGACTTGAGAGGGACACATCGATTGGTTGCCTCCCGCACGACCCTGACCCGGGCTGGGGATGAACCACAACCAAGGTACAGGCCCTTGACCCGAATAGACCCCGCGACTCTTTGGTCCGCGGGCCAACACTGTAACCACTGAGCCAAACTGGCCAGGGCTAGTTTTGATTTTTTAAATCCTCACTGAAAACATGCTTTCAATGATATTAGAGAAAGGAGGAGACTAGAGGGAGAGGGAGAGGGAGAGGGAGACGGAGAGGGAGACGGAGAGGGTGAGGGTGAGGGAGAGGGAGAAATACTGATGTGAGGGAGAAACATCAATTAGTTGTTTCCCACTAGCATCAAACTCACTGTACGTGCCCCCACTGGGAATGGAACCTACATTGTTGGCATGTACTCTGACCTGGAATAAAACCCATGACTTTTTTGGTTCACAGGATCATGTCCAATCAACTGAGCCACACCAGTCAGGGCCTAGTTTTAACTTTAAGAACCTGTTTTCCATAGTGGCTGAACCAATTTATATTCCCACTGTTAGTGTACAAGTGTTCTCTTTTCCCTACATTTTTGCCAACACTTGATATTTCTTGTCATTTTTTTCTTGATGATAGCCTAACATGTGTGGTGATATATCATTGTGGTTTTGATTTGCATTTTCCTGATGATTAGTAATGTTGAGCACCTTTTCATGTCCTTTTGACCACCTGGATATGTTTTTTGTAACACAACTAGACTAAGCTGGCCATGCAACACTCTAATCACATTACTTCTGTGTTCCATTGAGTATATCCATTTCCTACTAGCTAACATATAAAGTGCAGACCACTTGTTTTGGAATTTAAGGTCCTGTGTATTTTGTTTAGTTACTCTTGTTTTATTCTGACTTTGGGCATTGCCTTCACTGTCTTTTTTAGCAACTGCCTCTAATTATTTTCTACCTCCTGGCATCTCAAAGGCATCTCTTCAGCCCATATACTTCCCCAGATCTCAACATTTAAAGAATGTGTGTCTAGTTAGTTTACTTAATTGTGTTCTTCTGCCCTTCCTGCCATAAATATAATGCATGGACTTTGTATACTTGTCATGCTTGTCCTTCTTTTTTTTTATTTTTAAATTAATTTATTTTTGTTACAGATGTTTCTTCTTTTTTTCTCCATTGACACCCTCTTTCCCATCCCTCCCACCTCATCCCCGGCTTTGTTATCCGTGTCCATCGGTTATGCGTACATGCATATATGTTCTGTGGTTTATCTCTTCCCTTTCCCCCTCAACCCCATCTTCTGAGGGTTGTCAGTCTGTACCCTGTTTTCATGTTTCTGGGTCTACCCTATTCCTCAGGCTGTTATGTTCATTATATTCCACAAATAAGTGAGATCATGTGATATTTGTCTTTCTCTGCTTGGCTTGTTTCACTTAGGATAATACTTTTCAGGTCCCTCCATGTCGTCTCAAAGGATAAGAGATCTTTCTTTCTTACAGCTGCATAGTACTCCTTTGTGTATATGTACCACCGTTTTTTATCCATTTGTCTACTGATGGACACTTGATGCTTTCCCTTCTTTTGATTTCAAGCCTGTATACTATGGCTGCCAGGATTCTTGCTCCAAAGTCCATTTCAGCCATCTTTACTTGTCAAAATATTCATGCTGCAATGTCCTGGCCAAATGCTACATCTTTTTTATCTCTGACAGAAATTATTTGTAAACTGTTTATGTACATCAATGACACTAAACACATTTTGTCTAGTGTCATGATCACAACTGTATGTCTTTTACGTTATAATTTTTTGGTCACAAGGATGATGCCTTTAAACTCTGAAAACCCCTGAAACCTTTTACCATGCTCTGCAGAAAAAAGGCCCTCCATGAATGTAGAGAAAAGGAAGCACATGGGATCCTCAATCCAGGGCAATAGAGGGTCACACAGTCTGCTTTGCGATGCTGAAACAAAGGATCTTTCTGTTCTGAGTTGTCTCCCTCTATGCACGAGAGAGTTTTTCCACTTATTATTATTATTATTTTTAAAATTTTATTTATGTTACAGATATTTCTCCTTTTTTACACCATTGACACCCTCCTCCCCATCCCCCCCGCCCCATCCCCAGCTTTGTTGTCCACGTCCATTGGTTATGCATACATGCATATAAGTTCTGTGGTTTATCTCTTCCCTCCCCCACCCCACCCCCCTTCTGAGGGTTGTCAGACCATACCCTACTTCCATGATTCTGGGTTTACCCTATTCCTCAGACTGTTATGTTCATTATATTCCATAAATAAGTGAGATCATGTGGTATTTGCTTTTTCTGCTTGGCTTGTTTCACTTAGGATAATACTTTCCAGGTCTCTCCATGTCGTCTCAAAGGATAAGAGATCTTTCTTTCTTACAGCTGCATAGTACTCCATTGTGCATATGTACCACTGCTTTTTTATCCATTCGTCTACTGATGCACACTTGGGCTGTTTCCAGATCTTAGCTATTGTAAATAGTGCTGCTATGAACATGGGGGTACATATAGTCTTTCTGATGGGTGTTGCAGGCTTCTTAGGTATATTCCTAGAAGTGGAATCACTGGGTCTAATGGAAGTTCAATTGTTAATTTTTTGAGGTAACACCATATTGTTTTTTATAGTGGCTGCACCAGTCTGCATTCCCACCAGCAGTGTACTAGAGTCCCCTTTTCTCAACATCCTCGCCAACACTTGTTGTTTGATGATTTGTTGATGGCGGCCATTCTGATAGGTGTGGGGTGATACCTCATTGTTGTTTTAATTTGCATCTCTCTGATGATTAGTGATGTTGAGCATTTCTTCATATGTCTCTTGGCAATTTGTATGTCCTGTTTGGAGAGGTGTCTATTCAGCTCCTCTGCCCATTTTTTAATTGGGTTTTTTGTCTTCCTTCTGTTGAGTTGTATGAGTACGCTATATATTTTGGAAATTAACCCTTATCTGATGTATCATTGGCAATGATATTCTCTCATACAGTGGGTTGCCTTTCCATTTTGATGATTGTTTCTTTTGCTGTGCAGAAGTTTTTTAGTTTGATGTAGTCCCATGTGTTCATTTTCTCCTTTGTTTCTGTTGCCTTAGGTGATGTATCAGTGAAAATTCTGCTGCGTATGATGTCCAAAATTTTGTTGCCTACATTTTCTTCTAGAATTTTTATGGATTCTCGGGTCACATTTAAGTCTGTTATCCATTTTGAGTTTATTCTTGTGTATGATGTAAGTTCATGGTCTAGTTTCATTTTTTTGCATGTAGCTGTCCAATTTTCCCAACACCATTTATTAAAGAGGCTGTCTTGACTCCCCTGTATGCTCTTGCCACCTTTGTCAAATATTAATTGAGCATATTGCCTTGGGTCCATTTCTGAGTTCTCTGTTCTGTTCCACTGGTCTATATGCCTGTTCTTGTGCTAGTACCAGGCTGTTTTG